CCTCACGTCCCCGCTGTCACCTGTCATCAAGTCTTCCCCAGACGTCTTGTTTTTTTCGGATTCACCCAAGGCCCTGTGACTTATATCAGCAATTTATTTTCCTCTGGAAATGTTGCCTCACTGGACAACACCAGGAGAATTCAAAATCAAAACCGTTTGGCTCGTTGTCTGAGTGCAACGGATGCAGTCAAAACTCTCTTCCCGGAAGAGTTTCTTGCGCTTCCTTTTCAGGCTAAAAGCGAGATTTTTTGCTTGCCTCTTTTTGTTTGTCCCCAGCTCACCCCTTCTGCAGCTGTGTGGCGATACCTTTGCTCGTTAGCAGCAATTCATTCTTCAGCCATCACAGAGCGCAGCGTCTCAGGCCCCATCCTGCAACTCGGGATATTTCTGGAGCCTGTGAGTCCACACATCCTGTGACGAAGGATAAGACTTCCTTTGTGCGGAGACTCACGGTGGCCCTACAGCACACGGTAGAACTGCCCTTATGGGTTTCTGAGACGGTCACTCCTTCAGAGTGACTGGTGGCTTCAAACTGCTGACCTTGTGGTTCTAAGCCAACACCACCAGGGCCATAGGGTCCCAGTGAGTTGCAATCGACTCGATGGCAGTGAGTTGGGTTTTTGAGTCTTTTTGTGCAGAGAGGACTGAATAGAACGTCCCTCTGTGCTTCTGCCAGCCTGGGAGAAGCAAGATGGCTTCACACAGGCCACCGAAGCTCGGGGTCTGCTGTTTGTCCTATCGAGAATGGACATTGCTGTAGGTTCTTCCATAGCAAACACTAGCGCCCATGTCACACACGGAGGGGCTAGAAAATGCTGTGCTTGAAAACACAGACTCCGCTTTCTTAAACAGAGGAGAACTCCATCTGGAGTCCCTGCTTGGGGCCGACAGCCCAGAGACGGGAGTTTCAAGTCCACCCACAGGCACCCTGGAAGAAAGGCCTGGAGATGAACTCATGAAACATCAGCCGTTGAAAGCCGAAGGGAGCACAGCTCTGTCTGCTCTGGTGCACACAGCGTCGCCATGAGTCGGCAGCAAATGGCTTGAAACTGTGTTAGACAGGGTTCTCTAGAGTGATAAAACCAAATGGCTGATAATTTTATATATTTATTTATAAAGATAATT